CGACACGCCTACCACTAATCATAACGGGCGCGGCTTGTCACACGGCACGGTCACAGTTGATAGCGCACACATGGACACTTTCCTGGCTTGTGTGTACATCTGCATTGCCACCGATGTCATAATGACTTGGCGATGGTTTCGCTACCGCAATGCAGGCTACCAGTTATTGAGCGTGACCCTCTCTTATGCCGAACAGACTACGTAGCAGTGCCAGCCATTGATTTCCCACAAATTTGGTTTCTCCCTTTTCGCCGATATTCCATTCGTGGCATCGAGTATGCGTCATTCAGCATTATCCATTTTGCGAGGGGCATGGCATGAGTCACCATGCACTTCCCGCAGGATTAGAAAGAAATTAGCCCGATATATCTTTGCGAAAGACAGATTAAAAATAATGTGAGAAGGCTATGAAAGCTTCCATCAAATGGTATAAGAAAATCTTGCCCTCTTCTTCCCATCTCTTGATAAGCGCACCAGGAAGAAGCCAGGGGCCGTATCCTATCCTTTCCCTAGGCTATGGGGAACAAATAATCCCTTTAAATTTTCTTTGTATTTCCTACAAAAATCGCCCTGAAAAAGTGCTTAATGTATGTGTGTGTAAAAGCAAGCATGTGTGGAAAGCAAGGGGACTGTGTCGTTGAAAGAGAAGTTTAATGGAGTTCTTTGTTCCCCTAACCTGGTGTAAGGATAGGATACAGCGCCACATGGACTACTGTCCACTGTTGGTGAAGTGGAGCTACCCCCCCCCCCCAAAGCTATCTAGGCAGTGTCGTAGCTTGACAAAAGCGCTAGGGTTTTTTCAAGCTCTTGCTCACGATGCAGTTGTCTACACAGAGGAGTGTCTACGCTCTCACTCATCTGTTATGCTCTATCGTCTCGTTCTTCTGCTCTCTCGTCGCGGCGCATAGTGTCTCTTACAACGAAGGTCTTCCAGCACATGGAGCGCTTTTTGAAATGGTTTTCTGCATGTTGTAGGGGCTCATGCGAGAAACCCATAATTACAATCCATTTTTCCTTAACGCTCTCAGGAATTTCAAGACAGTGGTGAAGAAATGGTTGAGCCC